TGGCATGTGCAGGGCTGTCATGGAAATGAGAAGCAAATAAAATAAAATTAATGATTTCACTTTTACAGTATTTTATATATATTCTGAATATGTAATGTTGTGTGTGTAGTAGTTTATTATGTTTGTTTATTTTCAAGTATAAGAAATTTAAGTGTCAATAAATTTTCTATTCCCAAAAGCCAAAAAATAATGTAAAAATGATCAATTGAAAGTATTATATCAATGTATATAATATATAAATTCACATGTTAGAATTTTTATATATGAAGTATCTAATTGTGACTATCACATTATAGAAACCTAGAGCAAAAATAATTCATAACATTTATATTATTACAAAATATTAATTTTACATACAAGACAACAACAATCCACATGATTATACATTAGGCATTTTGAAATTACTTAGAAGGGTAATTATTTAGTAGAATCTTTATAAGAAAACTTTGTATGTAACAAATTAATAAAAATTGCCTATAGGGGAGGAAAAGTAATTTTCCTCTACCCTTTTGGGTTCTTGGCTGAAATTCCCCAGTAATAAATGACAGACAGGAGAAAAATAAACAGAAATTTAATAACATATCTACTTCCTGTGTAAATGGGAGATACCCAGGAAACCTGAGTACCTTTCTGAAATGGACCAAGCCACCACCTTATATGCTATCTCCAGCTAAAGACAAAAAATGTTGGGGCAGGGGAGACAGTTACTGGAGGTTATCAGGGAAAGTAAGGTAAACATGGTTGTGGTTTTATGAAGATTTAGGTCATTACCCTTTTTATTGTTAATGGTTTCTAAAGATTTAGTAACCCTTTTCTTCCTCTTCCTCTTATTAAAAGAGGGCACCCTTACAAATGGAGGGTTCCCTTATCAATGTCCCTTACAACTTCTACTAGGTTTTAAGCTTTTCTTATGTCTTCTGTTTCTTAAAAAATAACCAGTTCAAGGTAATTTTTATTGACAAAAAGGGGCCACATACTAAACCTGACAAACTCAAGGGAGTCTTGTATGGGGAGGCTTACAATTCAGAGACCCAAAGTAACCACATAGGATGGTCTGAAATGAAAACTTTTAACTAAAAGTGGTCATGGTGGGTAGCTATGCCATTAGGCCCATATCTTCCTTGACAAAATTCAGTCTTTGCCTTAACTAAGACTGTGTGTTGTCTTTTGCATTTAAGATAACATACTTTTGGAATATCAGAGTATCCCTATTTTTCCAGGCTCCTTCAGGGAAAAATCTCCCACCAAAGCACAAGACCCTGGAACCCTTCATTGTTATCAAATATCTCTAAGTGCCGGAATGGTAATTGTAAACCAATGTAAAAGAGGATTTTGTCTCTCCATTTTACTCTTTACCATGTCTCCGAGATTTCCCCCTGCTTTGCTCTCTCCTGCCTCCCTAATCTACCACCAGTGGATTTAGTCTAAATCTCCTTATGCATCCTCCATTGATTGTAATTTATAAAATAAACTGCAAAACTGTCATTTTCCAGAGCATTATCTCAATCCATTGAGATTTTCCTTCCCAGCAATTGTCGTCAGTTTAGCTCAAATAAACTCTTATGCTAAAGAAGTACATTCTGCTCCTCTTCATGCCTAAGGAGTCAATTTTAATTCTCATTTCTCTTATTATTTGTACTGCAACTTTAATCTTATTAAAACTGCCGAAAACACTATGTACAGTTTTCATGAGAGACATGGATATGTTTAAAAGAATTACCCAAAGCTTTAAAATCTTAAAAATTGTATTTATTGATGTAAGAGGAAAAAAAGGGAAGGAGAGAGAGATGAGGGGGAGAGAGAGAGAGAAACATCAATGAGAGAGAAACATCCAGCAGCTGCCTCCTGCACAACCTCCACCGGGGATGTGCCCGCAACCAATGTAGCTGCCCTTGATCAAATTGAACCTGGGACCCTTCAGTCCGCAGGCCGACAGTCTATACACTGAGCCAAACTGGTTTCGGCTTTATACACTCTTTGATTACTATTGTATGTGATCTGATTGAGATCAAACCTGAAACCTTGGCATATAAGAATGATGCTCCAACAACTGAGCTACACAACCAGGGCCCCCAGATTTTAAAAGTTTTAATAGAAACTCTTCAACCCAGAAATATAAAACTATAGGCATGACACTATAATGTTTTTCATTCATATTTTAAAGCTATTTTTTTGTTATTTATATCACAAGTGTTAGTTGATTGGTTACAACTTTTTAATTTTCAAAATAGATTTTCTAGTTTCTTTAGACCATATATGGTATAATTAATAATTTGAACTCCTTAAACTCTTTTTTAGGTAACCAGTGTGGACAAAACAATGGTATATACAAGTTCAGTGTTAAAAGTAACATCATAGGGTGATCTGATCATAAATTACTAACTGGGTAAGTCATGGTATGTAGTCAAGCCCCAGGAAAATAATTTCTTGAGTAAAATATTTTGAAGCAAGTCCTGTCCATTGTTCTTGTGCATATAGGCTAAAAATCATTTGAAATACCAGAAGTAATTCTAGACCCTTTGAAGGTGTAACAATACTCAAAGGAGCATATAATCTTAACAATTCTGTACCTTACTTTCTTCCACCTTCATGTAATCTTCCTTATGTTCTCTTCTCAATTCCAAATGTAGAAAGGAAAGTGCAAAACTATCATTCTCTGGAGTATTTTTATTTATTTTTTAAATATATTTTATTGATTTTTTTTACAGAGAGGAAGGGAGAGGGATAGAAATAGAGAGTTAGAAATATCAATGAAAGAGAAACATCAATCAGCTGCCTTCTGCAACCCCTCTCCTGCAACCAAACCAGAATCAAACCTGGGACCCTTCATTCTGCAGGCCGACACTCTGGTTAGGGCTCTGGAGTATTTTCAGATCTTGCTTCCTGGCAATGTTATTTTGGCACAAATAAATTCATAAAAATTTTCTACAGGGTTAGAAGTTTGTTACATCTTCACCAGTATTTCTCATGAGATTGCACTAATTCTACTCCCATTTAATCTATTGTTCTAGTATCTAGGCTAAATATATTATTCTTTAATTTTTTAAAATATTTTATTGATTTTTTTACAGAGAGGAAGGGAGAGGGATAGAGAGTTAGAAACATCAATGAGAGAGAAACATCCATTCAGCTGCCCCTTGCAGAATCCCCACTGGGGATGTGCCAGCAACCAAAGTACATGCCCTTGACCAGAATCAAACCTGGGACCCTTCAGTATGCAAGGTGATATTCTATCCACTAAGCCAAACTCAATTTTTAAAATTTTATTCAAATGTTAAAATTGTGTTTTATTGGCCTTTAAGACACAAGATAAAAATAAAAATCAGTACTACCCTGTTTGAAGATTTGGAGAAATTATTGTAGTACCTTGTAAATAATTTTGAGCTGTGTTATTACTTTATCATTAAAACTGAAAATAATTGTAGAGTATTCTATGATCTCATAGTACTACTTATAAAAATAAATAGTCCAGGGATATCATAAATTCTTAAGTGAACAATATTGTGGAAAAACTAGTCTTATTGATGCTATTTTCTATGTTTCCTATATTTAGAGATGTCTTATTAGTTCAACAGCCAAATACCGATTCTTCTGTCTTTAGCAGAAATTTCATCTCAAAGGGGGATCTTTAGGGTAACTGAATACTAGATTGGAGACATGGTAAAGTAGGTGCTGAATCCTAGAACTCATTTAACTTGTGACCATGATAGACAATGTTCTTTTCAGTAAATGGCCAATGATATCTCTTCTCCCTATCTCATATAAGCTTGGAGTTCATTGTAAAAACTGCTTCACTGTCCTCATATGGCCAATTGGATGCACAGACTCATTGCATGCAGTATAAGCAGTACTAAGCTAATATGATTTAAACCTTAAAATACTTAGTGAATGCATTTGTTTGGAAAAAAATCACATTTAGGCAAAAAATTTACTTATATGGAAAAGTATGTTGGTAAATTTATTAACCACGTTTTAAATATGGCCACTGCAAATCTTTATTATTTAAAAATAGACATATGCCACTTTATCTCCCCCTCTATTCTTTGAAATTGCAAAATTAAATTATATACCTCATGCTAATTAGCTAATGCTATTTGTATGGTCTGTGTATTGAAGAAAATGTGTGTAGAAAAAATTTAATATACTAATAACTATTAAACTGTATACTTAGAAACAGTTAAGATGACAATTTTCATGTTATGCATTTTTAATTATATTCCAACCAACTGAGCCACCCAACCAGGACATATATATATATTTTTAAAAATCATTGATACATTCTTAGCATCTTATACTTATAATGATATTGCTTTTCTGAAAAAAAAAGTGACTAAAAAATTGACTACATATACATGTTGGGAAATATCAGATTTACTAACAGTTTCTTGGTACAAACTACAAACTACTACTATTAATCAATATTTTCTTTGGTTATTAGATTTCAACACATTTACCACCTAATAATATAACTCAATTCCATGGTTTATATTGACTCAAGAAGAGGGATTTTCTTGCCTTTTTTAGATCTTCTACAATTAACAGCAGTCTCGTTATGGGATGTTTTCTAAGCACCGATGCTAGAAAACAATATTAACTCATTTCAAGTGAGTGACTACAGAAGAAAACAATAATTAAAGATTGCATTTGTGTAGCCCTGTCTGGTGTGGCACAGTTGGTTGGAGCACCATTGTCCCATATACCAAAAGGTTGTGAGATTGGTTCCCAATTACCCAGATTATAGGTTCAATTCCTGGTTAAGAGGCAATCAATTCATGTTTCTCTCTCACATAGATGTTTCTCTCTCCTCTTTTCCTCTCTCTCTAAAATCAATAATAACATATCCTAGGTCAAAATTAAAAAAAAAAAAAAGATTGCATTTTTGTAACCATAGCATTTAAGAGGAAATAAACATGCTTGGATGAAGATATAAACTTCTTGAATTTTGAAAAGTCAAACAATTACAATTGCTTATCTTTCTTGATTGAAGAATGATACACTGATAAAAGCAAATTTTCTATCATTTATTAATTGTATTTAAAATGTACATGGATCTATTAAAGACATTGTGTAATGTTTCTACTTTATGCTGTAAACAATGACAAACATTTGGCATAAAATAATATGCATAGCAATGTAACAAGTTTGAAAAATGGGGAATGAAAATCTGAAGTCTGTCTTCATTCTAACAGTGATTATTAATACTTCAAATGAATGGATCCTAGATTTCTGTCTCAAATTCTAAGTTGTTTTTTATAAAGAAAATTCTAAAGGACTTCAACATGCAATGAATATATATATATATAAATAACATTCAGAATAACTAGCTTCCATGCTTATGACCTCAACATAGGCAAGAGCCCGTAATTGTACTGATACTTTGGCTCAGTATATTCAAAAAACAAAGCAATGTGATAAGCCTAATGAAACAATCCTTTGTGTCTGCCAGCTTAAATTGCTAATGTAGTTGCAATAAAATCCAACCATAGCTTCTGATGACATATGCAGCTTTGATTAGCAGGTCAGTTTGTCTTCTGGATGTCTGAGCCAAGCATGAATCTGTTTCTCTAATTATCCTTGTAGGTTAGATTAGGAAAATGAGGAAGACGCATGTTTGTTTTTATAAAACATAATTCTGCCTCCTGATCTGACCACATCTGATTAGGAGAACAGTAAACCAGTCAGATTCTGTCAGATGGAAATATCATGTCTTCTACACTGGGCAACCTCTTGAATATTGTCAGATATTATCAAGCAATTATAAATAATGAAATTATCCATGTCACAAATATTGGTTTCTCCTTTTAATTGCTCAAGAAAAACAAGCCTTTGGTAACTCCAGCTATTGGATGCTACAATACAAAACAGATTACCAATGACCATTCCTGAACTAATACATGGCCAGATAACAGTTTGATATTTCATTGTTTTCTAGAATTCTGTTTGATCTTCTGCCTCAATTGACATGAGTAGGTGATTCTGCAGAAATCCTTGTTCTTGATGAATTTGCATCTCAGAAAATTCTTATTCTTGCCATCTTATATAAAAATAACTACTCCAGCAAATAAAATCTCTCCAAATAAAAATAAGTCAAGGTTGCTTGATGACTACTACACAGGCACCTGCTCTCCCAATATTCAAGGAAGCCATCTGTTGAAAAAATTAAACACAATTTAAGAAAAAAAATTACTCTTTTTGAAAAATATAGTAATTCAAATATATTTGACACTTATCATTGAAATCTAAATAATTTTATTATATTTCCCAATTTATCTACAAGTAGTACAACAAAAATGTAATTGATGAAAATGGCATTCATAGAAGAGAAGTAATTTATATATTAGCATTCTTAAAATATATAACTTATATGATTTTTAATAAAATAATAAGATATTTTATGACTTCTAGTGAAATAAAACTGCTTTAGAAGTTTCCAGTAAAGATTTATTCTGGAGTTTGCATGGACATATTTGTAAAATATTTTACAGTAATAGGTTAGAATACATTTTAGATAAAATAGCTATTATACTTATTGAAATCATTTTGAAGTTATTTCACTTGATATTATAATGAATTGAATGTGTTATTCATTCATCCTAAACCTAGACATACAATGCAGGAACTTTAATATTTTGTCATAAATAGGCCATAATTACAACTGGCATAAGGTTTATTTTAAAAATTCCACCTTATGATAGTCATTGAGATGAGAATTGAGATTTTCAAAAATAATCATGAATATGAAATTGGCTAGAAATATATTAAAACAGTAACTTTTACAAAGTTGTAATAAAAATTTATTCCATGGATGTAAGCCAAGATTATAATAATTTTAGTTTTTTTATATCAATGATTTTTATTACAGTTTTCTAAGACTAATTTATGTACATAAAAATATAAAAGAAGACTAGAAATTGCTGGATATTATTTCAGCCTGAAAAGAAAGAGAATAAAATGTAAAAAATAGAATAGCTAAGAGCATAATAACCTCAGAACACATACATTATCTTATTGAGAAAGGGACATAGTCTTACTTTCTAAATATAAAAATTACCATCATTATCTACTAGTTCTTTAAATGTATTTATTTTTGCCACTCCTTTGTAGGTTAAAAAAAATTCCCATATGGCATTTTATATTCTTTTTATTTAATACATTATTTTTAAAAAAGAGATTTTAATATAATGTTTCTTGTCTTTAATATAGTTAACTGCTCAAAATGAAAGGAGAAAAAGGGCATGTGAATTTATTGATAGTATATTGTGTTAATAATAACTTTTATAGGTCACCACAATCACCTGCATAATCTCATCACGCATTGTTATCTTCGTATGACAGGTGTGTGAATGGAATGTCCAGAGACAATATGTAAACTCAAAACATCAATGTATACAACCTAAAATCTGCCTGACTCCAAGATACACACACTTTCCATTATCTCTCTTTTAATTTCCAGTTATTTTCAGGTCTTGTTTGACATCAGAGTCATCTAAAGAACTCCTACAAAACATATGCGCTCAAGTGCCATCACTACATAGGAATGGGATGAATACCGGGTAGTCATGTCTTCTGCAGTTTCCCAAATACCCTCTGATGTTCTTTTAAAAAGTATATATATTTATTGATTAAGATATTACATATGTGTCCTTATTCCTTCATCCTCCCCCCACACACTCATGTCCTCACCCCCCTATTGTCTGTGTCCATTGGTTAGGCTTATATACATATATACAAGTACTTTGGTTGATTTCTTCCCCTTACCCCCACCATCCCCTACCTTCTCTCTGAGGTTTGACATTTTGATTGATGTTCTTTTAATGCTGAGAAAATTGTGCTTAGTTTTTCAGATAAAGTGAATAGCTTAATTTTATACCAACATCTGCATGTATGTCTCTATTCAGGTATATTTGTCTGTATTAAAAATGAAACTCTATTCTTAAAAAAAAAAAAGAAAAAAAAAAAGAGCTATTCCTAGTGTGTTTTCTATCTCAGTGAGTGGCACCACTCTGCTCAAAAGAAAAACCTGGGGCACATCTGTGTCCCTTAATTGTACCTCACTCAACCTTATATCTGAATACTCAACTATGACCAACTTATTTACACTCATTTCCATGGTCTTCACTTTAATTCAGGTTACAATTTTAACCTGAGTATAAAAAAGAGAAGAATATGCCACCCCAACATATTTCACTTTTATTATTGTTTAATTTAAATTAAAGGTACTTAAGAGATTAGCAGTCTAGGAGGGACACTCCTTTGTTACCTGGATATCAAGAAGATAAATCTCCCCTGTCCATGGTACCCACCTTGTACCCAGGAGGGTAGAAAATATCTTTATCACCAGAGATAGAGAATTTAGGCCCCAAAAGTCCGTATGAACAAACCTTGTTACTGCTTCATCAATTTACTAGCCCAATGGTAGGCAAACTGCAGCTCATGAGCCACATCAGCTCTTTGGCCCCTTGAGTGTGGCTCTTCCACAAAATACCATGGACTGGGCGAATCTATTTTGAAGAAGTGGCATTAGACAAAGTTTAAGTTTAAAAATTTTGGCTCTCAAAAGAAATTTCAGTCATTGTACTGTTGATGTTTGGCTCTGTTGGCTAATGAGTTTGCCAACCACTGTACTAGCCCATTCCCAAGTCCCTTTGTCTTGCCAATTATTCACAGATTTATTCTTTATGTGTTTAAATAGTATAAAAACTTTCTGCTTTCATCACTTCTCTGTGTCTCATATTTATGGGATCTTATAAATAAATATTATATTTGTTCACTCATTTATTCTGTTTATGTCCATTTAATTATTAGACAATCCAAAGGAACTACAAGAGAAGGGAAATTTCTTAACCCTAAAGTGGATTAGTACAATATTTTCTTAACATATTTCTCTCACACTAATCTTTCTCTGAACCATTTTCTTACATACTGTCAAATGCAATCCTTTTAAAGCTCAATTCTGATTATTTACTTTTCCTGCTTAAAATTCTTTATTAACTGATCTTCAGTATTACTGTAAAATCAAACTTCTATGACATGGTTTCTATCCCTAGATCACAGACCCTGTTTATCTCTCCAAACTTGTTGTTCATCAGTTCATTTCTTACCCAATGTAACATGCTACGTGTTCTCCTTCCTGTGAAATTCTGTTCCTTAAACCACTCCCCATATTTTCATTTGGTTCACTACTACTCATCTGTCAGCCCTCTTTCTACATATAATTTTCTGAAGGAAGATTTCCATATCCTACACACTTAAGTTCTATCTTAGTGATAAATATTCCCATAGTGATAAGTATTCCCAGGACAAAAATAGCAGAATTTATCATGCTGTTTTAAGCATTTGATATATTTATTGTGGGCACAATCCCAATTGATATATTCTACATATGTACATTTTAAATATTCAAGAGAGCTTTACCCTTTTCAACTTGGGCCCAAATTTATCTATTTATTTGAAATGGTGGATCTTAAAAATGACTTCAGGTTTTCTCACTGTGCAGAATATAGTCAAACACTGCTGCAGTTAAATATTTTGCCCTTTGTTCTCATTGCATGATCTACAACAATAATCTGCTTTGTGTTGATATTTACTGCTGTGTTGTTGACAATTACTTGAAAGAGAAGTTGGGGTACTTCACTGGGCTCATATAATATGTATTATATGATACATATAATAAAGCTCTCTTTGGCATCGCATGCATGTGTTTCAACCTGTCATTGTCAATTGTGAATTTGGTTGACATTTTTATTATAGAAAAAGGTGAAAAGTGATATTAAAATATTTCTTCTAATTCATTTCCTTTCAATATGGATAAATCTTTGTACCAGAACACTAGTGAATCCTATATAATAAAAGCCTAATATGCTAACAGTTCAGTTGTCCACTCGTCTGCTCAACCAATCAAAGCATAATATGCTAATGACTTGAGAAGGTCACTCAACTACTCACTATGTCATGCACTGACCAGGGGGGGGGGGAGGGAACCAGTTGATTGGTTGACCAGTCGCCATGACATGCACTGATCACCAGGGAGCAGACACTCCATCCAGTAGATTAGCTTGCTGCTGGGGTCTGGCTGATCGGGATTGAGCGAGACTGGCCAGACATGACCTGGAGCACTCCTGTGGTCCCTCCCTGGCTGGCCAACCTCCTCCGTCCTTCCCTGGCCCTAATCATGGGTCAGAGGGTGGGAGGTAATCAACCAAAGACCATCTTATTTAATAAAAGTCTAATATATAAGTCTACCAAACATTGGAACAACTGGTTGTTATGATGCACACTGACAACCTGGAGGCAACACTCAATGCAGGAGCTGCCCCCTGGTGGTCAGTGTGCTCCCACAGGGGGGACACCTCTCAGCCAGAAGCCTGGCTCATGGCTGGCAAGTGCAGCCTCAGTGATGGGAGCCACTCCCACCTCCTTGGCAGTGCTAAGGATATCCAACTGACATCCCTCAAGGGCTCCCAGAATGCAAAAGGGCACAGGCTGGGCTTAGTGCACAAATTTTATGCACTGGGCCTTTAGTATGTAATAAAGATATATTATCTCATTTATATTTCAACTAACTTCCTTTTCTTAATGTTCATTTGTAAAAGCGGCACATTTAAAATATATACCATTGGCCCTAGACAGTTTGGCTCAGTGGATAGAACCTTGGCCTGTGGACTCAAGGGTACCGGGTTTAATTCTTGTCCAAGGCACATATCCCAGTTGTGAGCTCGATCCCCAGTTTGGGGCATGCAGAAGGCAGCCAATCAATTCTTTTATCTCATCATTGATGTTTCTAACTCTCCCTTCCTCTCTAAAATCTATAAAAATATGTTTTAAAATAAATTTTAAAAAATGTATACCATTGAACTGGTACATTTTCTTAGCAAATCAACAATCATTAATCCATGCATTATTTCATGGGTAAACACTAGGATATCTGAAAGATAAGCATTTAAAGTATATCCTCTAATATTTTAGTGCAATAATTATGAACATTTAAAATTTTCTGCTTTTTGGAGAAAGAATGCTTTCTCTCTCACAAATTAAAGTAAAATATTTAAAAATCATGGGACCTAGTTCTTCATATACTTCCCCTTCTTTCCTTCATTCTACCTTCTTTCTTCCTCCTTCATGACTTTCATCTATCCTATTGGAATGAAAGAGCTTTCTCATAGAGTGGAGTGAGATACATAGCCAGGTACTGTAGCCTGCTATGAATTTGGTTTGTACTTAAATGCAGCATATATAAATACTGTGTATGAACATATTTCTAAATGGGAAAATCAAGGGAGTGGTATATCTTTAAAAGTAGATATTTTAAAAAGAAATTTACTTCAAGCAATGTTCAAGTTTTTCAGATAAATTTTAGTCAATTTCTGTGACCAAAAAAGAAATCCTTTCACCCAGAAAGATGAGAAATGAAGTTATTCTATTTCAACTAAATAATGCTTTGAAATTTTACCTCACCCATTAATGGAAAGGTTTGTTTGTTTGTTTCTACAGTATTTTGCTTTTAGGTTTCTGATAAAGGAATGAGATAATAGAGACAGTGAGATTTGGAAAAGACATAAGGGAAGAAATTGAATATGAGGACACAAGTCAGAAGATATTATATCCATTTTCACCATTACAAGCAATGGCATAGTAGCTATAAAGCACAAGGTATATTTTCCACTTTAGTTAAGTTGCTCTAGCCTAATTTTCTCCTCAACACTCATACACACCAGCAGAAATTATTTAACTATATAACTAAAATGGGAGCTGAGTCTCTAACTACAGTGTGTATTAAAGGATAACGCTTCACCTAAGATCAACCAATCATTTCACTCCATATTTATTGGGCCAAAGTGATTATCCAGGGATGAGTATTTTATACATTTCATACCATTCAGAGCCCTTTGTTGTTTGTTTCAAACAAATAGTTCTTTTATTTTCTCTGTTATTGAATATTGCTACTTGGAAATTCCACCCCATGGAAAATTTCTGTGCAACAGATAATGATAAACCTAACACAGCCAAGCAAAAATGGAAGGCAGAAAGTTGATTTGTGCAGGCTTCCACCCTCTTAATAACAGTTATCTCTAAAATCAAATATTCTGAAGTTAGGGTTTTGTGGATCAATATATTCTACCTTTATTTTTGCCTTTGCTAATTAGCATTCAGTTCTTATTTATAATAAAGTAGAAACATGGATGTCACTTTTTTTAAATAGAAATTTTATTAAAATACCAGAGGTCCACTACCCAAAGTTTGCACACTGATAGGGTCCCTAGCAGCTGGTGGTTGTTGGGTACTCCCTCCCTTTCCCCGGCTGGCCCTGCCTCCTGGATGAACTTCCAGTCGAGGGGATGATTTGCATACTACGCTTTGATTATATAGGATAGAGTACATTAGGGAGAAGTGCACAACAACATGTAACTAAATGAACTTTTGCAAAATGAACACAATAGATTAAATCAATCACTTTGGGTTCAGAGTAATTTGAATAGGTAGACTACTGTATGTATCCTTCTCCTTCAAAGAAAGTAAATGAAATTCTTTCTTATATTTGAAGTAAAGTGTGCTGGCAACAACCTTACCTGTGTCCATTCATTAGTTTGTGGATCATAGGATTCCATGGTGTTGAGATATGTCTGCCCATCATAGCCACCAACGGCATATAACCTGTCACCAAGGAGACAAACTCCAACAGCATCTCTGGGCATGCTCAAAGGAGCCACAGTGGTCCACGTGTCTGTTTTGGGATCATATCTAAAATGTAAAGATAATAAGACATATTCTAACATATTCAGCTTTTACTGTATAAATGATGCCCACCCAAAAAAGCAAGCCATGAAAAACAAAATTGTGAATTTTGTTTTTTTTCTAAAAGCTAATTTTTTTTTGAGCAAAGTGTTCAAGGGCTAATATTCACAATGTTTAGCTCTCTAAACTTTATAGTATTTAAAACATATGCCTAGACTCTTATTTATAAAGCTGCAGTCTTTTAACAAAATGAGTATGAAAATCGTTTATTTTCATAAGGAAGTCAGATATGCAAATAATTATTTGTCACAGCATAATCAAAGTGTTATGATAAAGAAACAGAAGTAATTGTTAAAAATCTGAGAGAAGTATGCAATACTTCACTATTGACGTCTCCATTAAGCCAGTTCTGAAAGTCTAGCCTAAGTTGGCTATATATATATATAAAAACTTGTGTGAAAGTATTGGAGTGTTAATAAAAATGCATAACACCTTTAAGGAAAGCAAGTGTGCAGTATGGCTAAATTTAAGGATGTATGAAACAGAAGAGTGTCAAAAAAGGCGCATGTGTTTTTTTTAAATATGTTTTTATTGATTTGAGAGAGGGGCGGATAAAGAAAGAGAGGGAGACACATCTATGTGAAAGAAACACGATCAGCTGCCCCCTGCACAGCCCTTACTGGGGATCCAGCCCATAACCCAGGCATGTGCCCTGACCAGGAAACTAACCAGTGACCTTTGGGTGTATAAGAGGATGCTCAACCAACTGAGCCACACCAACCAGGGCAAGGTGTTTTGTGATCAACTTATGGATGTTTGATTCCCAGAGTAAGATGGTGTTTTGTGTTTTCTCAATAGGAAAATAGGGAGCCTTTGAAACTTGGGAAAATAATTACAGCATTAACAGAACTATATCTTAGCGATATAACTCAGGATTTTTTATAAGGGAGATATTGGTAAATCAAAAAAATAAAGAAGGGGATATAAATTATTATGCTGAATTTAAACCAAAATTAATCTAATTTTCAGAAAGTTTGACTACCATACAGTAAATATAGATATTTTATATTTTAAGTAACAAAAATCTGAAGAATAATTTTGTTAATGACCTTTACTTCAGCAAAAAGAAAATGAATTACTAAAACATCTCTTTGCCTTTAATCTTCAACCATAGGTTCAGATACAGGAATAAGAAAGCTATTGGGTAGTAAGAAGTAAAAACCTCAGCAGAGTAAATGCAAAGGAGGGGGGGGGGGCGGTAAAAGCTGGGTGGAGGTGGAAAATAGGGGAAAATGGGGACATCTAAAGAGAAAGATGCAAATTGAGCTAACCTCCGTGATGCCCACCAGCCAATCAGGAGTGGGTATGCAAATTAACCCAACAAAGATGGTAAGTTATTTTGCATATGCAGGTGCTGAGCTGCCTGGGTCCAGAGAACATCCTCATGACCAAGAGCGATCATATCTTGTAGGCCTGCATGTAGGCCATGAGTCGCTGGGGTCCCAGAACACCCCTGGCCACTCCAGGCCTATGGACCACTCCAAGTCTATGGGTGCCAGCACCATGGCAATGTGGGGGATGTTTCTGCCTTGCAGTCACTTGCGTGTGTGCCAGCACCAAGTAGTGGCCTGGATCCATGTCCCTAGTCTGACACCCACAATGCGGGACTGGCTGCTGGCCTTGGGGATGTGCCCCAGTGGGAGTGGGGACATGCTCCTAACACAGTGGACACAATACAGGGGGTCCTCTGCATATGAGCTGCAGAGGAAACACCTTTTCTTTTCTTTACTTTTTTGAAATATTTTATTGACTTTTTTTTACAGAGAAGAAGAGAGAGGGATAGACAGTTGAAAACATTGATGAAAGAGAAACATTGATCAGCTGCCTCCTGCACACTCGCCACTGGGGATGTACCCCCAACAAAGGTATACGCCCTCAACAGGAATCAAACCGGGGACCCTTCAGTCTGCTGGCTGATGCTCTGTCCACTGAGCCAAACCAGTTCAAGCGTAAACACCTTTTCTGACCACTCATTGGCTAAACTCCCAGTATGCCACCACTTGCATAACTTGGGTTATGAGAATTCAAGAAGGTGATCTAGGGTTTTTCCACCACACTCTTCGAGGAAAAACAAAGGTCTACTGTTGGAGGGGCTAAGAAATGTCCTATCCTGTGCTAGCCAGTTTTGCTCAGTGGATAGAGCGTTGGCCTGCTAACCACAGGGTCTGGGTTTGATTCTGATCAAGGGCATGTACATAGGTTACAGGCTCTTTCATGGCCAGGGTCCAGGTCAGGGCTGGTGCAGGAGGCAACCAATCAAAGTGTCCCTTACACATTGATGTTTTTTCTGTCTCTCCCTCTCTTCCATACTCTCCAAAAATCAATGGAAACATATTCTCAGGTGAGGATACAATAAAAGAAAGAAAGAAATGTCATATCCTATGAAAGACACATCTTTAAAAAGCCTAAAGAAAGTTGGCATTTTTTCATGATGAAGGGATTGGAGTCCATCTTGATGAAAACACCTTGGCAGCTGTGATGGTTGGCAGTGGCTGCAGCAGCGAGGTGATGGGGCTGGTGCCTTCCCCTGATCAGCCCATTCACTCCTGCAGAGGAGCGGGCCTCAACCAACAGTCAGACATCTCCTGAGGGCTCCCAGTCTGTGAGAGGGGGCAGGCTTGACTGAGGGAATTCCCCACCCACTGCATAAATTTTGTGCACTGGGCCCCTAGTCCGTAATAATATCTGTAAGGACAGCAAAGAGGCCTTTCTGTTTTATTGCTGTGGCCTTGCACAACTTATAAGAAACACTTGGTAATTAAACTCCATGATTGTTGACTCCTCTGTTCAAACTACAGGTTAAGATAAGCTACTCTCAAGGCTACATTCTTCCATCCAACTCCTCCCTGCTGTTTTTACAGTTTCAGGATAATTTGCTCATCCTCTCCTTTTTTTCCCTTTATCTTATTGCTGATAGGGGGGAGGGGGAGCGGAGGGTAGGACTGAATGGAAAATTTTGTTTTTGTTTTGTTTTTTACAAACACTGCAAATATACTCTTTCTTTCTGCTTCAATCTTGTTTTTCACGAATTGAAACTTTCAACCCACAAACTCTTAAAACAAAGAAACAAACACACAAAAAAGCTAAAGAAACCTCACCTATAGTTTACTAGAAATAAAGAAGGTTGTTATAACAAATGATTGGAAGTACCCAAAGGATCAGTAATTCATGTTTTATAGAGAATATTCATGTTATTCAAGATAAAACATGCAATTACACTCCATGGTTAAAAAAGTTGGGACAGCCTATAAAACAAGAGACTGGTTGAATGCTTGCAAAACCAGGACCACCTTAAAGTACAGGCTGTCTAGCAAATAAAAATGCAATTTTACATGCAGCAATTAATAAATGCAACCATCACAAAGAGACACAGATATATAGAAACACAAACACAGACACAATCTATGCCATCATAATCTTCTTTATAATATTTAAATTTATATCATGAACATTGTTACATTTATAAATACGTATTTTAATGAGGACCAAAAATAAGTAGACAGAGAAGAAAAGACACCACAAGGAGTCAAATAGTATATTTATACACAGAATGACTGAATTTTTCAATTAAAAACAACAACAGTAATAATAAATAAATAAGAAGTAACTGTCATAAATTAAATGTGATTTTAAAACATAACAAAACGAGTGGACCTTATTTGGATCTCAATTTAAACAAACCAACTATTAAAATATGTTTAAGACATTTTAGAAATTTTAATTTTGGGCATCAGAGTTTAATAAGCCATTATTGAACTTTCTATTAGTTGTGATAATGATATTGTGACTATGTTGAAATATAAAGCTCTGATTATTTTATTTGCTTGTTCCTGGAATGAAATCAGATATATATTCAGCAAAAACGACATCTTGAATAATTTATTTAAAATAATATTTTAGGAAAAAGGAAGGACAGTGAAGGTGAATGTATAAAACAAGAATGATAGATTGGTGATGGTTGTTGAAGCTGGGTAATGAGTGTAGGGGAATATATTGTATTGTTTATTTTTTGTTTGTCAGGAAATTATTGTTGTAAATATAACTTTAAAAGGAAGAATATATAATATACTTTAATTTCGGCAAACAGTGAGCATTTTTTTATTTCATTAATTCTTCAATAGAAACCAATCTAGCTTCTGTCACAATCAATTCACTAAAACTGCTTTTTTTGAAGTCGTATTTTAGTCCTCAATTAATTTTTATTTAGCTTTATAGAATTCTTTTCAGCAGCTTGTCTATGAAGCAGACTTCATTTATCATTTTGGAAAAAGGCATAAGAACAGAGAAAACAGCTAATAGTAATACATTAAGCAATAATAAATGAATTACTGAAAGCTTATGAATCTTCAAGTGGTATTCAAATATCAAAACAATTCTCAAATACTCATATTCCAGGATAAAATAAGAACACATTTGGGTGTGTTATATGCTTTAAAGATAATATATGCTTTAAAGATAATATCCTACATTTAGAAATAGATATCATTTCTTTTATACTTTACAAACATTCCTGAAGAGAATTTTAAAAATCTAGTGCATTCTTTTATAAAATGTAAACCTTTGAATTAGATGCACCTCTCATTAATGGTAGGAAATATACTTTACACGTGTGATCCAATCTTTTATAATTAATAACTGGCAATGTTGTACCAAGTACAGCTTTCTCTCCTCCCAAACAAATCCTCTTTCCCTGATATTTAAAAAGTAATCTCATAAATTCAAAATTAACTATAATAATTATGCTTGTTTTCACATTAATAACTTTAAATTGATTTTCCTGTATTCAGAGTTTTATAAATTAAACTCTCAGCCTAGAGATATGCAAGATTGCTACCCCAAAATGAAACAAATGTTCGTTTGTTTTTGTTTGTATTTTTTTTAGCTTAGGGAAGGATTTATAGATGTATAATTATTTTCAAACAATTACTAATAGTGAACTCTGTCACTGTCATTTCTGGTTTTTGACAAGATTTAGTTCTAAGCATTTAGAGAAGTGAGTCTCTGGTTTCCTGTTCACTAAAAAGAAAAAGGAAAAGGCAGGGGCTGCCTTCATATTTACGCTCTCTTCCTTTCCCACGTTTCACCTTGGCCTTCCTGGTCAGAGTATGAGCTCTGCATCAGAAACTCTATTAAGGTTTATAGCCCTCAAGCAAGAGAAACACTGTATATACACTGTGGCTAAAATTGGCTGCAAAGGAAACACTTGCTCAAGGCATATAGCAGTTAGAGAACAAAACCTAGTTTCTCATTGAAAATCCCTATTCAAGGATTTTAGGTATCTTTAATTTTCAAGCATGGTCATTTCTATAGCTTAAGGATAAGAATCAATCTTAAAATATTTAAAGAGGAATTGTTTTAAATATAAAAGCATTACTTTGATAGCAAATAGAATTGAAAATGTCCATTTTTCTAAGTTTATACGGCTAATTTTCAGCTAGAAAGCAAATTAACAACACAGAAATGGCTTGTAGCCAGGTAGGTTTTCTTGTTAAACAAAGACAAATAAGGAAGCAAAGAAAAAGTAAAAGAAAATTAAAATAACCGAAAGAGTAGTCTTCAAATTTCTAGTAAAATAATTATGCAATCTATATTTGAACTGGTTTTTAATAAACTATTTGTGAATTATGAGTAAAAATAAAATAATTTATTTTTCCTATAAATTGACATAATAATAGCTATCATGAGAGATTATCAAAGTGACTTTAAAATTATTCTAAATATCTAGTTCTTCTTCAAGGTTTTCTTGGGATTAGGACTCTTTTTAGTTTTATTTAAATTAAAGAATCAGGTTTTCAGTGTATACCTACAATCACAATCCACAAGTGTTTATAATTTTTAAAAAATATATTTTATTGATTTTTTACAGAGAGGAAAGGAGATAGAGAGTTAGAAACATTGATGAGAGAGAATCACCGATCAGCTGCCTCTTGCACACCCCCTACTGGGGATGTGCCGGCAACCAAGGTATATGCCCTTGACTGGAATTGAACCTGGGACCTTTCAGTCCACAGGCCGATCTTCTATACACTGGGCTAAACCGGTTCCAGCAACACAAGTGTTTATAATTTAATAAGGACTGCATTATACCTATAGTCAATTTAGAGTAGAATTCATCTTCTTATGATTTTCAATCTTCTAATCCATAAAAATGGCATTCCCCTCCACTTATTTAAAATTTTTTAAACTTTTATAAATAATGTTTTATTTTCTCTCTAGTATTTATTACTAGATATTTTAATAGTAATTTTTATATATTAATTTTGTTACTTATTGCTTATATGTGGAAATATACTTAATTTTATAAATTGACTGAGTATATAGCAACCTTACTAATTCAATAATTCAAATAGTTTCTGCTTAGATTTGTTTAGATTATCATTAGATATTTATCATTCAAACTTGAATATTGACAGTTTTATTCATTCCTTTGCAAGTGTTATTTTCTTTCCCTTTATTGCCTTACCAATGGTTAGTTACTCTATTAAACTATTGAAGGACAATGGTATTGACAGCAACTTTTTTCTGAATTTAATAAAAACTTCAATATAAAAGCCTAATACGCAAAGTGTCCCCTCAGGAGTTCAACCAGGAGACTTGGAGTTCAATCACTCACTATGACATGTGCTGACCACCAGGGGGCAGTATGGAACAAAGGAAGACCCCTGCTGGCAGCTGGGGAAGGGAGACCCTGATTGGCTCTGATAGCTGGCCCAGCCTAGGGACCCTAGCTGTGCACACACTTCAAGAACCGGGCCTCTAGTATTTCAATATTTTACTATCAATTTTTGTATTAATTTTACTTCCAAATTTAGTGAGAGTTTTTATTTAATGGGTATTTAGTTCTTCTCATGTATTTTTATTGATTTCAGACAGGAAGAGAGAGGGAGAGATAGAAACTCTGTCAATGATAAGAGATAATCATTTATTGACTTCCTCCTGGCCTCTTGCACACCCACACTGGGAATCAAGCCAGGAACCCTGGCATGTGCCCTGACCTGAAATAGAACTGTGACCTCCTGGTTTTTAGATCAACACTCAACCCCTGAGCTATGCTGGTCGGGCAATGCGTATTTCCTTTTATCATTATTTTTGCCCTTACTTATACGTTTATTACTGTATTGAATCATGATGATTAACTTGTCTATTTTAAATTAATCTTTTATTTTCATTTAGTAGCTATCAGCTGTTAAACTGTTTATACATTGTTGGGGGACACCCTATATTACTACACAAGAAAATATTGGAAGAAGTGGGTATCCCAAAGGCAGGTGTTGTAGGTTCCTATTGTCTTGACACCCCTCTCCTACGAATTCTCATTACTGGTATGCAAATTTTTTTTTTTAAAAAATATTATTTTATTGATTTTTACAGAGAGGAAGAAAGAAGAATAGAGAGTTAGAAACATTGACCAGCTGCCTCCTGCACACCCCCTACTGGGGATGTGCCCACAGCCAAGTCACATGCCCTTGATTGGAATAAAACCCAGTACCTTTCAGTCCACAGCTTGAAGCTCTATCCACTGAGCCAAACCGGTTTTGGCCTGATATGCACACTTAAGGGTAAATGGGGTCCTGATCTGTTATTAGCCAGCAGTAGACTGATGTCTTTCAGCATCTTTTCTGACCCATTGTCTGGTTTCTAGTTTTGTTTCTGATCTTAAAGAGTTCTAATTAGCTACTTCTTTGTCTCTTTTCTACAGTACATTTTAAGCTCTATGCAGCACAGTGAAAAAAACATCTGAAACGATGTACATTGAATAAGTAAGTAGATGAAGGTGACTTTTCTAATGGAGTATACCTCCTGGGCCTAAAATTGCTAGAACTTACTGCATATTTTGGACATTGATTTTGTCCCCTAGGATGTTGTTGTGGAGTGAGGCTTGGCTACAAAATTAGTTTTCTCTGTTTCATCAACTATTCTAATGTTCCTGTTCATGCTCAGTCTCTGTCTTATTACCGGATTTGATTTGAAATGCCAGTGTTCTTTGTGTGTAGGGTAGCCTGACTCTTAACATTTTTTTCATAAATATTACATAAATGTACTTTAATACCACCATTATATAATACCTTTACATTTCTATAAGAATTATTGTCCTATAAATAAAATTTGTCCACCTACATATCCACCCATATATTTATGTTTAAAACAACATTGTACACTACTTCTTGCTATACCTAATGATTTATTTGCCTATAATTATAAACATTTTTTACATTATATGGGCAAAATAATTTTACAGCAGTCCCTTGATTTACTGATGATGTATATATTAAATCATCAATACAGAATATATGTTGTAGAAGCTGCAAAAATGCTATTAATCTGCCACCTAGCATGAGCTTGAATAAGAATCAGGATAATGTCATGTGTTTCTGCATTACTTACACAGCTTATACCCACTGCACTCCTATAACTTAAAATAGCTATGCTTACTTAAATCTAATTTTGCACCATAAATGTATTCCTAGGCTGAATTATTTATGTCTCTGTTCACAAACGGTATTTCAATACATTATACAGTAAAGTTAGAAGGGAATAAATGTATGGAATATCATTTCATTGGTAGCATTTATCCAAGGTATTCACGGTAAAAGTAGGAGCCTTATCATATTCATTTTCTTTGACATTTTTCCCAAGAATTTAGCGGTGGAAAATGTGAATACGCTGCCAGACTATTAGCGGTATTTAAAAAAAATGAATGAAAAATTAAATAAAATATAAATGATTGCATATTTGTGTATATAAAAGAATTCAGAATGGCAATACAATTAAACATGTTTGTGCATTTTATCAAAGATGTGACTTAAGTATGAGCAGTGCCTGTACACTAAAAGCTACCTCTTGCCATTGGACTTATTCTCAGTAAACATAGCCATATATCTGTAGAAAAAAAATATCTTGAGAGAGAGAACATTTCTCCCACTGACTACATACTACTTACAAGCATGAGTATCAAGGACGTGCTTTTCAATATCAAGAGAAAAATTGTTTTTGTCATCAGTGTGATCCACCAGATATTTTATTCTTCCTAAATTATACTGTCCTCCCACCCTTTGAAGTTTTCTGTGGCCATGTGATTGGCTTATCACCAAAGTATACACAGAAGATAATTATATTACTTGCAAGTAAAATTTTTAAGGACCAGAGAACAATTTACTACCCTGGCTTTTCCCTTTTGTCATGGAGAAGAGCAGTGCTCACATTGCAGCTTAGCTGTCATTCTGGGTCCTATAGTAATGAAATCATGGAATTGTCATGGTTGTGTAGCAGGAATAAGAACCATATACATTATCCTATCCCAGCTGATAAAACAATTAACCTCAATATTCCCTATTCTCACTTCCCCAAATATCAGCATGTATCCTTATATAATAGGCAATCTCATCATGAGTTTTTATAACTTTCTAATTCTTAATACATACAATATAATACTTCTAAGTGATGTGCAGGGACAAAATAAAACTTATGTGTAACAATAAGTTCTGGGTGGTTGAGCGAGCAAAGGAGAGAGATTGAGAGAAGAAACTCGAGGAGTTGATTTTACTTTTCCTAAACGTAGTTTTTATAATCCCTTGGACGAGGCATCAGTGTAATGTGCACCGTCTTTCACTTTAGCAGTGTCCTTGAGGTCTTACCTTTCTACATAATCGAGTAGCCGGGAACAGTGGTTTGAAGCAGGAGCATCATGACCTCCTACTGCATAAAGGAAACCATCACATGTGGCTACTCCAACACCCCCTCTTCTTTTACACATTGGAGCACACATGTTCCACTTATTTGTATGAGGATCATAATACTCCATTGAACTCAAACACGAGCTTCCATCGCGACCTCCAACTGAATACAACCTAAAAAACGCAATTGGAAAAACATGACTTAATACTGTAGTATGGATGACAAAATGTAGGAAAAGTAATGCCATTTAAAGATAAATGTAATCACAGTATGAGTCTCAAATATACTTGAAATACTACTTCACATGGAAATTTTTGTTAGAGGTACTCTATAAATAACTGCATGTGCCTAGAGTTCCCATCATTGCAATAAGCAGAATATCAAATGAAATTAAAACAATTTTAATTTTCTAACCTGCTATTTCTAGAATGTTAGATAGATTTACACTGCTTATGCCAATACTAATTCAAGATTTTAATACATTATTTAAATACAGATTGAAGAATTATTATTTAAAATATAGAAAAAGACATATTTACCCCCAATTTTTCTTGAAAATTATCATAACCAAAAGAAAACGGATTCTCTTACTTGGTGAGCAATTGATTTGCACTGGCAAGTAAACCATGCCTACTTCTTGTGTTCTGTCCCTATTATTTAGAATGCCAACTAAATGGAATAACTAAGCCAGTATTGTCATAACATCAGCTTCCTTAATCAGTGCTTAACCTATAGCTAATATGTTACATAGATAAGTCTTTACAGGAAAGATGTATGCAGTCATGTTAATATGCCTGAATATTGCTGAAACTTATTACTTACTACACTCATTTTCCTATAGTTATTTCATTAATGACAGATATACTACAGACCTGGGAAAATAAGTGCTACAACATAAATGATACTTAAAAGATTAAAAATATACTATTTATAATAAAACAGTTCTTTTCTATTTGGTCATCGCTATGAAAATTTCATCACATTGAGTAACAGAGTTGCATTTATTTATTGATTTCCTCAACACACATTTTTGAATGCCTAGTTTATGCCACACTCATCATCTAAAGCACATGTGTCAAACACAAGGCCCGCGGACCAAATCCGTCCCGCCAGGCCTTGCAATGTGGCCCGCACCGCGCTGTCATCACTGCACTCCGCTGCGTTTCCATCACAATGACAGTTTATGACCGTTCAGTAAACCATTTAGCCCGCGATTTAGGCTGGATTTTAGATTTTGGCCCCTTCTCTGATTGAGTTCGACACCCCTAATCTAAAGTTTTGCAAATATGTCCATGAACAAAACAGGATAAATATTCCTGCACTCAATTCTTCTGGAATAAGGGGTAGATATAACAAACAAAAATAAACACATACACTTCTTTATAAAGACTGGGTGCTGTAGACATAGACAGAGCCGGAAAGTGGGGTCAAGTGTACAATGGTAAGAGGGGGGTTGTGGTTATAATTTTAAATATATCATCAGGAAAGGTCTCACTGAGAAGATGATGTTTGCACAGAAATTTGAAGAAGACAATGGCGGTTGGTTGTGAGTTCAGGGATATCTCACAAACAAGATTCAAGGCAGACAGAACAGGTGACTACCAAGTTCCAGGAGCATCAAGGAAGCCAGAGTGGCTGGAGCAGAGATTGAGGGGGGAGTGGCAGATGAGGTGAGAGGTGGGGGGTACGGGGTGAATTTCATGCAGTTATTTGTAGACATTGACTCTGAGTGAAACAGGAACCCATAAGACATTTTTTTTAAGAAGAGGGTGATATGACTTGCTTGGTTTTAGATGGTTAGATGTTATTATGATGAAAATTTTGTCTTATTAGCAGACATTGTGCTTAATACATTGGTAAATAGACAATCAGTACTTTTCAATTTATAAATAAATATATACTGCTAAGCATATAATTTAATTCAGGTTTTATATTTACAAATTTATGCTCTATTATATTTTACTAACTCTAAAACAGGGTGGTTAAACTGATTCAAATACTGGAGAGTTATTTTTTAAAACTGTTTTAAGTTTCTTTGAATGCCTGCCATCATAAAGTGTTTCTGATTGCCCTAGTGTGACTTTTATGGACATAATGCTTTTTCGCTTGATTACTCAACAAGTTGTCTGCCAGCTCTCAATCTTGCTACATGTTGATATTAACTACAATAATAGGAGCATTTTGAAGAACAAGTATCGGATAATTTAGCCTGCAAAAGCACCCAGAAGTGAAATAATTATTCACTCAGAAGATTTTTATCTTCCTAAAAACTTTCTGAAATCTGAACTTCACTTATGTTTTTGTTTTATTTATATTGAAGATCTAACTTCAGGGAAGTATGCAATAGCTTAATGTATTATTATTAAAATTTAAATGTTCTTGAAGGAATTTTGCCTATTGGGTATCTTCCCACGAGGCACCTAGTTTATATATAAGAAAAACATCCTCTCTTTTGTCTATTGTTTTAAAGGACTAATTGATTTTAAGCTGTTCTATTTATTTATACACATAACAGTGATAAATTATGGTTTTGCTACATCTGAACTCAGTGTTGCTGACAATACATTATTTCTTTGCAGCAATATATCATACATTTTCTTTTTCTGAGATTATTAAATATGCTAACATACACAAATATATAGCAAAATGTATATAATAGTAATTGTAATTAATATAACATATTGCTTACAATAAAAAAGTCAATATTGAGCCTATTAGTATAGTTTTTATTTGAAAATTAAACAATACTATAAAGTTTGTTATGTTATTATTGATTATCCTAGCTAATAAAAAGGAATAGGCAATTGTCATGCCATCACAAATATGGCAGTACCCATAGCCACAAGATGGTGGTGCCCAGTCCCTTCAGCCCTGCTGGAGTCCCCCAGTCCTTTCATCCCAGCCGGGGGGTAGCAGGCACAGTGCAGCTGGACCCGCCCTCAGCCCCCAGCCACCCAAGGCCAGCCCGAGATGCAGGCAAGCCTTAGATGTTGGCTGCCCAGCCTCCTAGGGCTGGCCCAAGGCACAGGCAAGCTTCAAATGGCAACTGCCCAGCTACCCAGGGATGCCCAAGGCTTGGGTAACCAGGGCTGGCCAAGGCTTGCACTGTTGACAGTGGCAGCAGCAGAGGTGTGATAGGGGTGTCTGCTTCCCCTGATCACCAGGTCGCCTCCTGCCCCAGAGAGCTCCTAGACTGTGAGAGGGGCAGGCTGGGCTAAGGGATCTCCCTCTAGTGCATGGATTTTCATGCACTGGGCCTCTAGTTTAATATAATTAATAGTACATATATTACAAACCACTATTTATTCAGTCTCTCTTCTGTGTAAACCTCCCCTAATAAAGTCTAATAACACAAGGGATTATAAAAGAAAGAAATTTATATAATGCTTTAATACAAATGACTTAATTTTTGACAATTCATTTTGTAAAATAAGTGTTTTATATATGTATGGTAAATACTACTTTATAAGTTATTTACTAAAGTCTAAGCTAGGTTACCAGTGGTTTCTTTTACTTGATATCTAGCTTTTTTAATGCCCTTCACAGTACTATATAGTCTATAGATCAGTAATAAAATTATTGTAACTTTAATAATATAACAAATTATTTATGTTAGGGAAAAACTAGTTGAAAAGAATAAATACACTATTTTTCCCCCCTCAAGAATAAGCTGTGAAAAAGAAATTTTAAAAAATTAACTTATGTAAAATATATGAGAGTGTCCTTTAGGACTGCTTTATGGATCTACTATTAAAATTAATAAATATATTTCAGTATTTAAAAAGATTTGAAAATTGTGTACTTTACAAATATATGCTATTAACCATTATCTATAATCTACTTATTTTGAAACAGACATTTACTAAGTGACTAAAACTTTAAATGTAAAAATAAATAAGAACAACAATAATATTACTGTATTTACATTAAAGCTATAAAAATACCCAAGGATATAAAAACGATATTCTAAGCAGTTAGAATAAATGCTAAAAGGTATGCATCAAACTTTATGGACAATTATCAAAGGTTATCTTCTCAGGTCTCCCCTCACAATATATTTAAATATAGTGTATACTGATTTCCTGCTTTGTTACTACAAGGACAAGTTCAATGTTGAGAATCCGAAGACCAAGAAGAATCTGTTCTTTGACAACATAGGAAGTGACAGCTGACAGTTTCTCAGGAGAAAGGAAATGTGACATTTTAACTTAGAGTTGAAAGATGAGTAGAAATTTGAAAGATGAAGTAGGGGAGAAAGCATCACATGCAGGGAGAACATTATGAGTAAAGACAAGGGTCATGAAAGGTCATGGAAGGTGATAAATAAAGAGTGGCAGGTATGTCATGTTGATGGAAGAGGTTGTAGTGATGGGAGGAAAAGAAGAGATACTGTTAGTAGAACGAGAAGATTCAAAGGAGAATGAAGGTGGTCAGTCCTGCTATAGAGTTGGGGTTTCATTCTGAGGCAATGAGAAAATGAGAAAAAAAACAATATTCTCAGAAATCATCAAGGTCATAGTTCAGCTTTCTCTGCATATTAACTAGTATTTCCCTTACAAGGCAAACATTGGCAGGGAATCAGAAATATTCCTGACTTTAGCAAACTCTTGTAGAATTTTGCTGAGTACAGCAAGAATCTCAGACACCCCTACTGCTTTCCCAATTGCATGTGTTTATTCAGCATGCCCATGAGTTCTATCTAAAGTTTAGCGACCAGGTGTCAGTGTGTTAAAGTCTAGTTGCCATGTGCCTGGGTATCACATATTGACTAGTCTAGTAACTACAAAATAGCAGTTGCAGGAAATAAAGCATGTATTAGGATATGGGTCAAATGTGTGTAAAGTGGCTTTGCAGATACTGAGAACCAGGCTGTTCTCATTTTTAACTATGTCATACGTAGAGTCTGACCTCTGCCATGAACTGTAAAGAGTCTGAATTTAACCCTTCTTGGCAGCTAACAGATTGCCCTGTCCCAGCTGAGAGAAGACACATGATTCCTGGGTCAGAGAAAAATTACTTTATTACTCACCGCACAATAGGTAGTATGAGCTTCATGTTCATATCGCTGCTTCACGTTCCCCCAAGTCCCACCAGGCTGATGCAAAGAGACTCGGGTAAATGCTGCACACACTGGGTTTTTCTCATATTTGAAAGTCACTGAGTTTATGAAATG